TCATAAGTACCCCCCTTTACTTCAGTTAATTTTTCTAGAGAAATCTGGGTTTTTCCAAAAAGGCTCTTAAAGGCATTTTACTTGAATTTCTTAAAATAACATGATTTCCTTCAAGAAAAAGCATGCAGTCTAATAGAAAATGGCATTTTAAGGCCTTTTCCGAAGTTTCTGCTTTGTTTTAATGAGTTTCTACTGAGAAATCTGAGTTTTTCGATAAAAATACCTGTAAAGGCCTTTAAAGGATTTTTAGCGCCTTTTAAAGCCTTTTTCTTCGATGGCATAAAATGAAGCAGTTGTATGTCTAATTCATTGCTTTATAATGGAAAGTGTTGTGTTTCGTTTTACGGCGTTGTCTGTGTCGTATACGGCTGCTGTATTTCGCCGTATACGACACGGCGATTTACGACCGTTATACGGCGTATATGAGGCCGTGTACTGCCGTATTTTCGCAGTAGACGGCGGTATACAGCATCGTAAACGGCCGTATCTGTTCGTCGTAATGCTCGATCTGGGTTGTTCAGAAAATTTGGTTCGACAAAAACTGAGAGGAAAAATCTTTTAAATCTCTGATGAATAATTTCTTACACCTGCTACTCCTCGAAGTCAGCTACTTACCTGCGTTACTGAATAAAAGAATATGCTTATCGTGTAGTTTTCATAGAAAAGATGATGAAACATCTTGAAATTGGAAGATATCTTTGGGAAGTAGTACAAAGATAACGAACACGTTTGTCTGTTGGTTGAGAGTTATTGACTTCTTGCTTCAATAAACCTTGACTTTGAATAAGATAAGAAAGGAGGAGGGGAGTCGACAAGCAATGAAATCTGCCCTCTTCAGAAATTCGACTTTATCTTAACGGAACCATCACATTGGGTGCCCAAAAGTGTTCTATTACAGAATTTATGAAACAGAGCTTGTTTTTGCTATGAACGGGTGCAGTAACTTACTCAGTGGGCATTGTATTAAGAATAGTCCTGCCTTTTCATGATAATCGTCTCGCTTTATCCACTCAATACATGATCGAGCAGTCTTCTTTTCATATGGTTTGAGAGCAATTTTTGAGAGCTTTAAAATGGTATAAAAATGTCCAGGAATAAAAACTGAGCAGCAACATTTGGTATGGAGAACATTGGACCACATACTCATAAAATAAGTGAAAAATCGATGATAACTAACGAAACCGGCCCCCCCCCCCCCCCGTCGTTGTGAATCAACAGTATTGATCGCCACGCCAGTTTTCATATAGTTGATAGGACTTTTGAAAAGCTTCAAAATGATATAAAAATGCCCAAGAAAAAACACTGGCCCGATAATGAGATCCTAATCACACTACAGACGGGTCGGAATTTTAAGCTTTTTTCCCCCAAAAAGGAGCCGATTTCAGTTGAAAAGTGATGGTTTGGATTAAAAATAATACGATATTCTGAATCAGCATTAAAAACTCAGTAGATCTAACTCAGTTTCTATCTGTTTTGCGGATTTTTATTTTTTACGAAAAGGGTGTGGGTGTGGGTGTGGGGTGGGGTGTGTGTGGGTGTGGCTTGAGGATGTAGGTGTGGGTATCTTCTTCTGCCACTGGTATTCACATCTACACCCACACACCCACACCCATACCCACATTTCTGCAATTAGTTATACATATTTTGGTTTATTTTAAATTGATCACCGTCTCCACGAACACTTTTCTTGTTTTTCCGAGGAGGATAAACATCTGATAAACGATTTTCGTAAATGTAATAGTGTTGTTGGCGTTTTTTATTTGGATTATGAATAACATTTTCACCATATTTATGAAAACTTCCATGATGTATATGTCGATTTTTTTTTGCCGATAACCATATTATGTGTATATATATTTGTAAAGACATGAGATAAATGTTTCATCCCTGGTTGATTACGATATTTTGCAGAATCACAATTCTGGAAAACGTTTGCTGTATAGTAAAAATTATAAATAATATGGCTTACACTCACATTGTTTGTATCTCTTGTTGAATTCTTTCCGAAACAAGCTAAAATATTTTCAAACATCTAAAAGTAAAAGTTACCAAAATTCAAAACGTTCACAACAGCGTTTAGTATTTTGCTATTCACTTCTACATAATATAGTCTAGTCTATGTGATGCTTAGATATTGTTGAGTCATCAAATCACTGTTGAAATGCATGATTTGTTTTTTATGAGATCCAAAGGATAAAAATACGATGTATATAGTATAAAATAAATCTTTTCTTCTTTTAAACAAATTTTGTATTTTTTTGATAAAACTGTTGTCCCGCAACAGAAGGCGCTAAGCTGTAATGTTGATTCATCACGCATAAATATTATATTAGTATGCGATGGCATATGACGCAAGAAAAAAAATCCATAGTTTTTTGTCTACGCTTCGAAGGTTTTAGCCGATCAGAGAAGATAAGTAGCATAAGCAGTCTATAATAGAGCACTAGAAGAGTTTAAATAGTTAATAATCAATTGTGACATTTGTAATTTTCTTTTTTGTGAGGACACTTCGATTCGATCTAACTGTTCTGGCTGTATTTGACCATTATCTAGATACTATTCCTGCTATTCGAAGTATTGTTTGTAGATGCAGTTGCTAATTTTCTAACAGAGGCACCCACTAGCAGACAAATTCATTTATCTTACGATTAGTTGTTTATTCCCTCGACTGTAGGGAGGGTCATATGAAAAAAAATAGTTTGTATGTATGTGTTTGTGTCATGGTGAAAAAAACATCGATGGCCGATCAGATGTTTGCTCTATCCATCTCTCGAACAATCAGGTTTTGAGAGGGTGGAATTTCAGCCAATCAGGCTTTGAGGCGCTGGGAATTCAACCAATCAGATTTCGATGAGATACGAAATTCGACCAATCAGGTGCTGATGGTCTAGGAAACTCAGTCAATCAGGTTTTGAGGGACTGGGAATTCAGCCAATGAGATTTCGAGCGATTAGAAAAGTCAGCTATTCAGGTTTTGAGTGGCTAGAAATTCAGTCAGTCAGGTTTTGAGCGGCTGGGATTTCAACCAATCAGATTTTGAGGGGCTGAGAATTCAGTCAATTAGATTGAGGCGCTCTCAAGAATTTAGGTTGGCAAATTCAAGCACACGGTTACGTAGTGCTCATTAGGATAGAATAGTCCAATAGCAGTCCCTCCAACTATTCGAGTGAGACACAAATATTCAGGAAGATCCGGACGATATCTGCTAGTTTTACTGAATTTGTCGAGGAGACGATTACTAGACGTTGTATTATCTGTGGATTCACGCAATCAGTGAGATAGTAGGACATATCTGGAAGAAAAGATGACTTTTAAAACATGTGAGCGGAAAATTTCACAAAGCCTCTTTTTCGAACAGAAAGAATGTTGACGAACTGACGAAAAAGAAAAGTTTAATCCTATACTTCATCTGATAAGGACTTACATATAAGGCCACCTGCTCTAGTGACAGAGATGAAATTAATATTTCTAAATTGAATATCAAAACATTTTATATAAGAATATAATAATGTTCTACTGACATCATTGGTGTCAACAATTCCCACGAGAACTTTTGCTTTGTTGATTTCCTTGACTGTAGAGAGTGTCATATAAATTAAAATGAGCTTGTGTGTCTGTTTGTGTCAGGGTCAAAGGGCAAAAAAGTATGATCAAATGTGAATACATCGGAATTTCAGCGAATCGGGTTTTCCATATTAAGACATATGCCAGTCAAGTATTTTCATCGTAAGATTTCAGCCAATCAGAGGTTTGCATATTGAGCTTTCAACCTGTCAGATTTTTGCAGACTGGAGATAAAGGTTGACGAAAGTAAATCGGGATCGGTGAATCCGAATCTGAAGTCAGTTTCTCAAAATTTTGAGTTGAATTTTTAGGATCAGGGAAAAGTTTTTTCGAGAAAATAATGATACTTCCTCGGATATAGAAATGGTTATATGAAATAAACTAAATTTTGTGTCTGTGTGTGTGATAATGAAAGATGAAATAGTTATTTAGCAGTTACAGTGCATTTAGACAAAGAATTAGTGGGTTTACAATCTCTTTCTTAAATTATTTTACAAAAAAGGCTGAGCAATTTCTTCGACTTTTACGATTTAAGAAATTGAAATTTGCGTCAGTTATTGTGATAAAGCTAGTAGATCAATTCTTTCGATACTGACACATGTGGAATATACTTCTGTCTTATACAATCGAGGGTCAAGTGAGTCGAACCGACGAACGTTACTTGTTTTTAACATCGCAGTTAACTAGTCAGACTTCAATACGACATTGATATAGATATTAAAATGTTCAGGATCAAATCAAATTTTTCTTTTTTTTTTCAACAAATGCAATTCGAGAATTTCATCAACATCTGTGATTATTATTGATCAAGCTAAAATGAATTCAGACAAATATAGAGAAAAGACATTTAGTATATAATCAGATAAAAAAATCCTACTGTTTGATTTATGACTCATATTTCCATAGATAAAATTTGTTCTTGATTTGTAATTATTATGAGAAAATGATCAACAAGTAAAAATGTTAAAGACGTTAAAGATTAATAATCAGTAAAGCGTTTATGAACTGATGAAATTCAATAAACTTGGTAATATAAATGATTGGAACAGATTATTCAATGTTGATGAAAAAAGAATTACTTGCCAAACTCTGAACATTTAAATGTTCGAATGATGTATGATATCATGTGGCTAGTAGCTGAAATATTTGTGAAAATGCACAAAAACATTTTCCAAATAATATTTCTTCTATGGTGAATAGTATTGAACACTAGTCTATGTCTAATGAATTAGAAAAAGGCAAGCTCGTAAATTCGCTTCATCTAATTGTATGTATGATTAAATGAAACATCCCAAAGAAAACCCAAAGTCATCAAAACAATCCAAAAGCAACGGATATTTTTCTTCATTTTCGACTGAAAACTCACTATCATACACTATTTAGTTCACCGATGATTCGGACAGAACAACCTGATGAATCGTTTCCGTAGTATATTTTCATTTTTCAGTAGACAATTTCAATTGTTCGATGCTTTCTTTGAGTAATGGATCTCTAAAATCGTATGTGACAACATTTAAGCCAGGAAAGTTGAACCATAGGAGTTGTTTTAAATTTGTGAACAAATCAACACTTGGTGCATATGTACCTGATGCATTGTTGAATACGAGCTCCCATTCATCATCACATCGATTCCAACCAAATTTTGGGCGTGGATGAAATTCACCCGCATAACGTACATATTCGGAAGCATTGGCCAGCAAAGCATGCTTACTTGCATAGTCAGCAAAAAACTTATTTCCAGTCTCACTAAATCGCCACGTATAGTCGTCAATAATATAAGTATAAACGCACGGTTTAATCCGTTGTGTTGTTTTATTTGTGAACACCAATCTCCACAAATCATCACTACTATTCAATTGCCCGTTTTCCGTGTTCGTCAAAGTTCGTCTATAGAGTGTTCTATGCGCCAGCTTAAGAGAATTTTGTGCGATTAACGAGAGAGCACAATCGCCAAATAGGATCTGAGCATTTCTTGAATCTAGATTCCAATGTTGGAGTTCATGATAACGAAAAAAGAAAGAAATTCGTCGCATTTGTATTTTCCATGTTGAATAGACACAATCGTGATTAAGCATGGTGAAACGACCGACAACAAAATCATCATGTCGAAAAAATCGGCAAGGACCATCATATGTATAAGATGGTAGTTGTTGACTTTCTGGGGATGATTTGCTTGCATCAATGGATAAATAAAAGCGACCACGATATTGATTCGATGGACCGATAATCCTATGTCCATCTTCAGATGCTTGATAATTCACAATGTTCTCAATTTCGAATTTACCTACATAATCATCGATTACTTTTTCATCATCTTTATCGTAAATAGTAACTGAAAGTTTTGCGTTCATGGGAATATTTCGAACGATCCATTCTTCGTTGTTCCATTTGGGTGATGATGTATTGGGCACAATCATTGACCTAGAATCAATCGAATGAAATCGAGCTGACTTATACCACTTCAACCGGCGACGAACTGCTATTCTTTTCGCGAAAAATATCACTTTTATATTTGATGACTTATTATAAGATGGAAAGGCTATCATCATTCATACATCGTATATATTCATCGATAACACTTGTGTTAATCTTTGAATGTCTTAGTCATGTATTCAGATGAGAAAGTAACGGATTATTTATTTGAAGACCATTTTCAATACACTATGGATCACTGTTCGTTCCATGGTATCTGTAAATTCTACAGAAGCTTTCCTGAAAAGCTCGTAACTTAAATGGTAATTTGTAAATCTTAGTTGTCGAAGCTCTTTAAACCACCCATGTGAGTTTCAAACATGGTGAATAGGATTAGTATGTATCTGCTAATGTGTCGTGTACACCCTCACAAACTTCCGAATCAAGTTTCTTGTAGAACTCTGTGTTGAACAAAAACTTGAGTTTGTAATGAATATGCTTATTGCACATTTTGCTAGAAATAAGGTTTTTCTGTTTTTTTTCATCGTTCTTATATGAAACATTGCCCGACCATTTTGCATCGTTCTAGAAAGTTCAAAAAAAGATTTTAAATTGAAGACAAAGTTGCGTACTATCGCTGCACAGTACCGAATTTTTCATTTTTAACTTATGTCATGAAAGAGGACTGATATTTTTTCATAAGAAAATCATTTTTTTTTTGGATTTTTAAAGGAAACCTTTCACGAGAAATAAAATAAAAACAGAGTTTTCAAAGAAATCCGATCTCGTTAAGTTGTATTAATAAATATCAGCTACATTTCAACATCAACGACAATTTGAAGATCTCAATATTTTGTATTGATGGTTTTACTATGAATTACAGACATTCTGACATATGTTCTATGAAAACTTTTGCCAGATATTTTGTTCTAAGACAAAACCAAATTTTTTAGTGCGGATAGGAACTTCAAAGATTGAGTATATTAAAATGGTCTTCATTTATACTTCGTTGAGATAAAAATTGAATTATGAAAATCGAAGTTATACCTATTTTGAATGGAAAATTATCCAAAAGTCAATGTGACACCGTTCCCATAGTTTCAGTTACACTTTTAATCTACAAAATCATTTCTTACATAATGACTTACGTGAATGAAATTTGATCATTAATGGTTGCTACAAAATATGGATCACCACGTCCGAGGATATCCATCTTTGGTAAATCCTAAAGAAGAAAAAATAATCAGGATATAAATGTGATATTAATTATGATTTAACCTCTGCCGATTTGAAACTAATAACAACATCGTAGCGATCAGAAGGATCCAAACCATTCGAATCTGTTACACGAAATTTTTGTTCAAGATCGGATTCAGATAAGAACAAAAACATTAGTTTGTAAATCTAAAACTAGAAAATATTACAACGCAAATGTGACGTTATACGACAAGGAAAACAAACGCTATCAGTTTGGGAAATCGAGGATAACGAGTGGTTAACAGTGAAAACTTATCTTCTACTCACATTTTCTATGTATTTACGACAAACCGAGTTCGTACAACATGGCAACATATTTACTTATTGCTTTCCTTTGTCCTTTCTCATTCGTTATTTCCTAGATAGAACCGATTACTCTTATCGTTGCACATTAATCAGGACGCTCTATGGTAGCATTACTAATATTCATGAATGAGAATGGAGCTGAAAAAAAAGACAGAGAAACAGAAACTTGAGTTCTTTTTTTCTCGTGAAAGACATTCGTTACAATCCGAAGTGACTGTTGTATCATATGTCAATAGATGCCTTTTTTAATTATGTAGATCATCACTTATAAATGAAACGCAACGGATGGATCAGATCAAACGGGACACTTTCTTGAGCAATTTTCTAGCCTGTTGCTCAAGGACTAAAAGTTCTCAAACTAGGCTCATTTGATAGAGATTTGGCTTTCTAAAAAATCGGATATTTGAATTTATAATGACATTTTGTCTGTTTGAACGGTACTAAAATTACCTATAGTTGCTATTTTTTTTATGGTGGCATGTCCTAAAAACAGAAAATTTATTTTTCATACTCAAAAACAAATTTCGTTACACTTTTGAGGATGTACGTGTCGTTATAAGTGCAGATGTGTTGCGTACACTCACCGACATCATAATCTACACATATACACCCACACGCTTACTTTGATTCACGCACTTTCCTACATCCATTCAAACTCACACTTCACATAGACAAGAATTCCCGAACATACGTTTGACGCGTTTTGCAGATAAAAATGATCGTTTGTGTTGCGCGGTGCAATGTTGTAACTGGCTCGATCCAGTCTGGTCCGATAGAAAATTTCTGATCGACCAGTATACACTACTTTTTCTAGATTATTCGGTATAGATTTTTTCGAGGTTTTGCATGGTTTTTTGAATTAACATAAATGTTTTTTTTGGCATATTGAACCAGTTTTATTGATACATATAGCTGTTTCTATGGGGAATATGCATTAGGAAATTACTATTAAGTGAGTATTCATCAAAATACGCCTAATATATTTTATCAAATCACTTCGATACCTACTTATATTATCGAAACAACATGGAATCACTATTTGTCATTATAATTTATTAAATATTTATTTTCATTTCGTATTATTTATACCATATCTTTCGCAGAGACAAAAGAGATAAGAAAGTAAACTTATTGTGAGAGACGCAGAGTACATCTACAATTGATTCGGAATTTATGTCTGACGAGCATTTCATTAGTATACAAAGTTAATATAGAATTTATAGGGCTTGTCCGGCTAACGGTCAACCAGACTGATTAAAGTAGAACCTATCTATTTCTCAAGGCTGACTATATCATGTTGTAGAGAACACTTTGCTCTGTCAGAAAATGTAGTCGTTTCTTTTTTTTCTCATAAAGGAGAGAAAAGCTGCACGACAGACAACATAGGTAGACTTCTTGAAATACCTATACGTTTTCGTGCTTTTGAAGAACCTTTTGAAAAAAAGAACAGAATTTTAACTAAAAATTGAAGCGTCATATATATTACGCATGGCGAAGTTTGAACTTTCTTCTGATATAATTTTCAGCTGCTTTATGAGTAGTAGAAAAAAACAGGGATTATCTGAAAACTTCATAAAATCTAGAGTGAGTGCGTTACCGATTAGGGCTTTTAGTTTAGTTTACGCCACAATCATATAAGCATTTAAGTTGATACTTAAGAACTTCCGTTACCTTTCCATGGACTATCAAAGGGCTAGGTTGGTTTTTACTTACATATTTTTTCTGCCGAAAAAAATGGTAACGCACTCACCTTACCGACCCACTTCCATGTTTTAAACCCCATATATGTATGTTTGATGGGATGGATTGCTTCTATAATAAATGGCTTTCAATATGATTTATTAATGTTGCTATCTTATAGAGATGTCAACAAGCCATGATTTCTCTTGGCTTCACGTATCAGGCTTTAGGTTAAATTAGATCTGGAGGTAGACCTACGATCGGTGCTTAGGAGTTCACCAATTCATATTTAATCGGTTGATATGTTGACTGAGGATACGTGTGAATTACATTTTGAACCTTCATCATATATTTCATAGAAATCTCGACTGACTATTTCCTCCTTTTTCGCAAAGAAATGACAAAATGAAACGAAAACCGATACCATTACTCGACTGAAATATGGCATAAAAACTTAATAAATGAATATTTCAACTAGAACAATTTTTCAATGATATTTTGTCAAAGAAATAGATATAAAATTCATACATTCTTGTTTCTGGACGAAATATGCTATTCAGTATCGATTATAAGAGTGATTTAACAGATAACGAAAAAGTACTTGTGATATACTAATAGTTATGGAAGCACAAACATTAGCTCTACGACACTATTTCGTATCCTATTTTTTATTGTGAAATCTTATAGAATTTTGCTACCAAAGTCGAAGAAAGCTATTTTAACACGTCTGAAGTGTGAGAGAAAACAACAAGTCCACCAGAAAAAAAATTAGAATATGAAAAAGTGAGTGCGTTACCAGAACGTGAGTGCGTTACCGTAGTATTTTAACTACAGGTCTAAAGCAGCACAATATTTTTAAAAGATTGTTTTACCATTAGATAGCCCTAATTTTCTGCTACAAACTTTCTATGAATCATATCTTTTAATAACTGAACCATTCGCAGGAATCTTAACATTTCTGATACCACTAAGAAAGGGAAGGGCCTTTTTTGTGAGTGCGTTACTGTCCTGTATTTTCCTTGTAAAATTTGAATAATAAAACCGATCGAGGTGAAACTTATAGTGGTTGTACAGTTTTGCAAGATGCATATATGCACCAAGTTTCAAGGCTTTACGCTTTACCGTTCGAGAGAAATTCAAGTCGAAACTTGACAAAACGTGAGTGCGTTACCTGCGGACAAGCTCTATAGTACTATGAAATTTTACGTACATCAATAGATTCCACAAGACAGAAAACTTATAGAAAACGAATAGCGAAGAAGAAGCTTTCAGAACAATCCCTACGAGACTAAAATATTCAACAGGATACAGCTACTTTAACTATTGTGAAGGACCCAAGGGAGAACACAAGAGAAATTCCGTACTTCATCGTACTCTAAGACTATGTCAAAGCTATCCTCTAGAGCTTCTTAGTTATTTCAAGTCTACTATCAACCTGTGTATCACGAGCATATTAGATTAAGTTAACTTTATATAAGTCTGTCTGATGCTAAAGACCAAATGCTTCATTGTATTTTCAAGATATGAGTATCAGTGAAATACAATGAAGCATTTAGTCTTTAGTATCCAACAGACTTATATAAAATGAACTCAAACTAATATGCTCACGACACATGTTGACACTAGACTTGGCATAGCTAAGGCGTTATAAAAGATACCTTCGGCATACTCTTGAAGTAGGGTAAAATACACAACTTTCGCTTTTCTTCCCTTGGATAAATCTCTTCATCTATATGATAGACTATGACGGAAACAAAAACTAGCATGTCGGAAACCACGTTAGACTGTTAAAGACATATTGAAACTACTGTCATAATCTGCCAGTAGGTTAAAAAAAACATCGGCATGTTTATTGCCGTCTTTGAAGCAAGTTGGAGTAGATGGAATCAATTTTCTCACCATATACTTCAATACTACTTGAAAATTATGTTTCGCACAACCATTATTATAGTGAAACAGAAATCTTACATAATTTCTGTAGTGATTCAGAACTAGGTATGACTAATCGCGGATTGATTTGACTCCTACAGAACGAGAGAAGCGAAAAATGACTAATGTAAGTCTATCGGCCGGTCCTAGCAAGGAAAAGACCTGTCAGTTACAACGCTAGCATGGTGTATGTTAAAACTAGTGCGAGAAAACTTTTTGGATGTCTTTCGGAAGCAAAATTTACCTTTTCAAGTGTCTTCAAGAACCTTTTATGATGCAAGTAACTAGCTTTGGTGTTTTCTGAGCAGATGTGAAAACGCTCTCACGAAAGCCGTGACTAGAGCGATTAAACGCGCTTTCGGAAATTTTTATCTGTTTGGGGATGTGCGTGGGTGTGTGAGTGTAAGTGTATGTATTAGTGTGTTAGTAAGGTACACAAAAGATCCGTACTCACACCAATGCCAACACCTAAATTCCACATTCACAATCCTGCAACAAATTGTTCAGTCATCATCCTAGGTTCCAAAGCCCTTAATGTGAGCAGTCATCCTATTCCGCAAAGTTGAACATTCCGGAACCAGTTTCGACCCTGGAATCGTTTCCAGCGATTCCGGAATAGAATATACACCGAGTCCCCAACAATTCCTAGGAATTCCGTTTAATTCCGGAATTCCTCAATTAAACAACACCGGAATCGCTGGGAATTGCTAGGAACTCCGTCCAATTCCGTCTAATTCCGGAATTACAACTTGTCTTTTTATTCTATCAATCTTTATCGATGTAATGACGATCCGATTCCGCTTACAAATTCCGAATTTCAGCGGATCCGGAATCGGTGGGAATTGGCAGGAATTCCGTCCAATTCCGGAATTACAACTTGTGTTTTTATTCTATAAATCTTTATCGATGTAATGACCATCCGATTTCGCTCAGGAATTCCGGATTTGAGCGGATCCGGAGTCGGTGGAATTGGTAGGAATTCTGGATTTGAGCGGATCCGGAATCGGTGGGAATTGGTAGGAATTCCGGATTTGAGCGGATCCGGAATCGGTGCGAATTGCTAGGAATTCTGGATTTGAGCGGATCCGGAATCGGTGGGAATTGGTAGGAATTCCGTACAAATCCACCCAATTCCGGAATTACAACTTCTATTTTTATTCTATTAATCTTTATCGATGTAATCATCATCCAATTCCGCTTAGGAATTCCAGATTTGAGCGGATCCGGAATCGGTGGGAATTACTAGAAATTCCGTCCAAATCCATCCAATTCCGGAATTACAACTTCTGTTTTTATTCCATCAATCTTTATCGATGTAATAACCATCCGATTCCGTTTAGGAATTCCGGATTTGAGCGGATCTGGAATCGGTGGGAATTACTAGAAATTCCGTCCAAATCCATCCAATTCCGGAATTACAACTTCTGTTTTTATTCTATCAATCTTTATCGATGTATTGAGGGTGTGGGTGTGGGTGCTGGCGTGAGTGTGGGTGTGGATGGATGTGGGTGTGGAT